CGGGCTACCACATTCCCTTTTACGGTACCCACTTCCGACTTCCCGTTCACCCGCAATTCGCGTTTGAAGATTTGACTCCACCATCAGGAAGATCGTGTCGGGGGCTACCACATTCCTTTGACGGTACCCCCTTCCGACGTCCCGTTCACCGCAATTCGCGTTTGAAGATTTGACTCCACCATCAGGAAGATCGTGTCGGGGGCTACCACATTTCCTTTGACGGTACCCCCTTCCGACGTCCCGTTCACCCGCAATTCGCGTTTGAAGATTTGACTCCACCATCAGGAAGATCGTGTCGGGGGCTACCACATTCCCTTTGACGGTACCTCCTTCCGACGTCCCGTTCACCAGCAATTCGCGTTTGAAGATTTGACTCCACCATCAGGAAAATCGTGTCGGGGGCTACCACATTTCCTTTGACGGTACCCCCTTCCGACGTCCCGTTCACCCGCAATTCGCGTTTGAAGATTTGACTCCACCATCAGGAAGATCGTGTCGGGGGCCTACCACATTTCCTTTGACGGTACCCCCTTCCGACGTCCCGTTCACCCGCAATTCGCGATTGAAGATTTGACTCCACCATCAGTGAGATCGTGTCGCGGGCTACCACATTCCCTTTTACGGTACCCACTTCCGACGTCCCGTTCACCCGCAATTCGCGTTTGAAGATTTGACTCCACCATCAGGAAGATCGTGTCGGGGGCTACCACATTCCCTTTGACGGTACCTCCTTCCGACGTCCGTTCACCCGCAATTCGCGTTTGAAGATTTGACTCCACCATCAGGAAGATCGTGTCGGGGGCTACCACATTTCCTTTGACGGTACCCCCTTCCGACGTCCCGTTCACCCGCAATTCGCGTTTGAAGATTTGACTCCACCATCAGTGAGATCGTGTCGCGGGCTACCACATTCCCTTTTACGGTACCCACTTCCGACGTCCCGTTCACCCGCAATTCGCGTTTGAAAGATTTGACTCCTCCATCAGTGAGATCGTGTCGCGGGCTTCCACATTCCCTTTTACGGTACCCACTTCCGACGTCCCGTTCACCCGCAATTCGCGTTTGAAGATTTGACTCCACCATCAGGAAGATCGTGTTGGGGGCTACCACATTCCCTTTGAGGGTACCACTTCAGGCGTCCCGTTCACCCGCAATTCGCGTTTGAAGATTTGACTCCACCATCAGGAAGATCGTGTCGGGGGCTACCACATTCCCTTTGACGGTACCTCCTTCCGACGTCCCGTCCCGTTCACCAGCAATTCGCGTTTGAAGATTTGACTCCACCATCAGGAAAATCGTGTCGGGGGCTACCACATTCCCTTTGACGGTACCCCCTTCCGACGTTCCGTTCATCCGCAATTCGCGTTTGAAGATTTGACTCCACCATCAGGAAGATCGTGTCGGGGGCTACCACATTCCCTTTGACGGTACTCCTTTCCGACGTCCCGTTTACCCGCAATTCGTGTTTGAAGATTTGACTCCACCATCAGGAAGATCGTGTCGGGGGCTACCACATTCCCTTTGACGGTACCTCCTTCCGACGTCCCGTTCACCCGCAATTCGCGTTTGAAGATTTGACTCCACCATCAGGAAAATCGTGTCGGGGGCTACCACATTCCCTTTTACGGTACCCACTTCCGACGTCCCGTTCACCCGCAATTCGCGTTTGAAGATTTGACTCCACCATCAGGAAGATCGTGTCGGGGGCTACCACATTCCCTTTGACGGTACCCCCTTCCGACGTCCCGTTCACCCGCAATTCGCGTTTGAAGATTTGACTCCACCATCAGTGAGATCGTGTCGCGGGCTACCACATTCTCTTTTACGGTACCCACTTCCGACGTCCCGTTCACTCGCAATTCACTTCTATTGGCGACACGAGAAAGAGAGACAGCGATTCGAGATTCACGAAACGTTAAACCGCGTGAGTTCGCAACGGAAGGTAAAAGGCGCCTGACTACTTCTCGAAGACGCGCGCGCCGCCTCGCAAAAGGTCGTTAATTTCGCCCCTATGACAAAAAACAAAATTCCGCCACGCAGGAGTTGTGCGCGTTTACAACATCTTTCCGACGACACCACTTTCAAAAGAATCGGACCAAAACTGTAGTAGAAGATAGGAAAAAACTGAAAAACCTTCACGTTAGTATACTACGCTCGAGGATGACGCCCAGATGTCGCCAACCCCACATCATGTAGCCATCTCCCTAAGGTTGACAAATTTCACGGCCCTGTAGATACACGTACACCCGTTGCCTTTCTACAAGAGTTCTTCTACGCGCCCACATTTGCTGCCAGCCAGCCAGCCAGCCAGCCAGCCAGCCAAAGTGAGATTAAAAGCTACTTTTTACAAAAAAATTTTTTGCAAAAATGCGCTAAAAATCGACTACTATCGGGGGTCACTTTTGACCTCAGCGGGCACTTACCCCGAATATAAGCAAACAAAACAAGACAACACCTTACTCAATCTGATCAACGGCAACTTGTAGGAGAATAGCAGGAGGGACGTACACGACACCAGCGCGAGTACGAAATTGTGCAGTACTTCTTCTTCGTCTGGGTCTATATTGACCCCGCGATAGTAGTTAGTTAAGGGTTAAATAAGTAAAAGAAATGGTTGTTAGAAATGCGCCTGCAGTGATTGTAGTGCGTAAACATTTACTAAAAACAATTTAACTCAGGCCCGCATCCTTATGATTGTGATATCTGGAACAGTTCAAGTACAAACAGGTCTTCTTGTCTAAAGTAGACTTAAAGACCACGTCGAAATCCTGACCAGGCCTTCCCCAAGAATTTGAACAATACCTATTGTTCTACGTGTCTCAGTGGTAGAGCGTTGGGATACATAACCGGAAGGCCAGGTGTTCGAACCTGGGCTGAGGTAAGAATTTTTCATCTGTGGCAGAGATGGGAATTTCCATAGATCGGTTTCGAAAAAAATTTGAAATTCGCTTAAAATAAATTTATTTTTTACTTGCAGATTGATTTTTTTTAGTGCTTATTCACGTAAGTAGTATCCGGACACCATTGCCCTCTCCTCGTTGGGCGCCTGAGGGTGAGACGATTCCTCGGTGACGTAACTAAGGCCCTTGTTTGTGGTACAAGGTCGCTCAAAACGAGAAAAAGATCATTGCAATTACCTCAATTCAATTTTTAGATATGTGCAGACATATTATTATTATTGCAAATTAACATTAGCAATAGTATTGAATAGTCAAACTAAACTGGTAGATTGTAACACGAGGATGTAGACGATATAAGAACTGGGACATACTAATGCTTAACCAGAAAAACACTTAAGTTTTTCAATGATCCGAAATTACGCAATTTACCCTCAAGTACGCGGCAGAAGCGGAATTTACGTATGTAATTTCAAGGTCATTTGATTTTAGAAGGTTAACTTGTTTTCGAATGCGTTTGCAAAATAATTGCTCTTTCTATCTACTGTTAGTATTCAATTGTCTACAGACGCATTAACATATTAGTCAACCTTTCACTATCTCCTAAAGCTTACGCGATTATAGTGATACCATCTGTGCATTCCCTTGGCGGTTGAACTTTTGAAAAAACTATTTTCAAACAAGCACTAGAGAACAACGTTATATGTCAGTATAGAACCTTTTATGTTTTGCTTGCTTAAACGCTTTGCTTTTTCTTTGTAAAATTTGAAATTCATAATTTGTCATTTTTTAGTTCCTTTCTTGACGAGCTTCTGCGTGATTCTTTTCTCTCCTCAGGCTCAAACATAGTAAAATCTCGTAATTAACATTAAAACCGGCACGAACTTGTTAGTCTCATTATTTTCGAACTGCTATAAGGTGAAAATTGTCCATTTTAGAAATTAATTCCTTAGATGTCAAGAACAGAATGTCGGTAGGTAGGTAGGGCACTCACAACGGATAATTGGGACGTCTATAAGAAATATATCCATTGGTGATGTCAAAACTTTAAGAGCGAATACCTCCAAAGAGCCTCCTCCCCCTTAATCATCTACCAAGAAGGTAAACATTGAGCATGCTACTATCTTGTATAATCCAACCATTTACTAAGCTATTTCTTTATCTGCATAAGAGTTTGGCACAATTTATACGTGTTTGATTGTTATTTATGGTTCTTGACCCGAAGAAACCCCTTACGAAAGTGGGCGAAACATTGACTTTTCGTTTAACATTGACACGGTCCTATCCCGGAAGTCCCTCGCATCTTAGCGGCAAATTGGTTGTTCCGAGATAAAGGTAGAGCGTTCGCGTTGATATGAGACCAAAGTTAGTTCAAACAACTGTAATTGAGCGGAGGGTGTTTTATTTTGTGAACGAAGTCGTACGCGAAGTTAAGTCAAACAGCTGTAAATTACCGCGGGGAGTGTTTATTTTGTGAAAATAGAATTCGCGCGTTTTATATATTGGTGTGACACCTTAATAATCGGGAATATGCATTACCTTCAGAGAAATATTGTGCTAATACGGTAGCGAAGTTTAGTACGTATAAAAGAAAAATGCAAACGCGCGAAATATTCCCCCTTTCCTTTGTGCGATACAACCCATTT